ACTATAGCACAAGGAAGGGAGCACCAGCTGGGGGAGGGGGACTCCCCAGGGGGGTTAAATGTGTTATATATTAATCTTTTTATCATTAAAAGGTGAGCACATCATCAGAATATTATCAGCCCATTTCCTCAAGCTCCTTCTTCATTTTTAGCTGCTCTCCCTCAATGTCCTGTGATAACATATTGTGTGAACTATATTAAATGCCATTTCTTTCTCTTTTCAGTTGTTCTTGTACTGCAGAAATGAGACCTTACTCAGCATACGGTTTTTTGATTAATCTTTTCTCCTGGATCCTTCCTTCTCCTCCGAAGATGAGTTGGAACCCAAATTCAGGATGGAAACACCTGGAGGGACGTCTGGGACCCCCGGGGCCCGAGAGGGTGCCGGCCCTGTCATCGCCGGCGACCCTGGTGGTTCGACCGCTGCTGCTGCTGCCGCCGTCCCTCCTCCTTCTGCCGCGCTTCCCACTCTGGCCGCGGAGACGGCCGAGCGGGCGGGCCTTGCCATCGCTGACCCTGGATCGGCGGGGCATGTGGAGGAGAGGGCGGGGCAGCTTCCATCGGCCGCGGGGTCGGGCCCGCCCCGGGGGGAGGGTTCGTCCTTGCCCCCTGGCCCCGCCCCTGCTGACCGGCCCTCCACCTCCTCTTCCACCTCAGGGGGCTGGGTGACCGTCCGGGGGAAGCGCAGCGCCCGCAGGTCGCGGGCTCTCTCCCTCCCCTCCGATGAGGAGGGAGAGCAGACCCCCCGAAAGATGTCGCGGGGGGCCGACGTTGCTAGTTCTTCCATCGCGCCCCCGGAAGGTACCCAGCAGGAGGCGCCGGCCATGGAGACCGTAGATGCCGTGGCAGCGGCTGGGGAAACTCCTGTCCCTATCGTTGAGGCCACGCCTGAGGAGGCTTCGGTGGCGGTTCCCCCGATCCTTGCTCCGACCGTGTCCTCCGCCGCCGCCGCCGATGCCGGGGCGGCTTTTGTCTCCGTGCCTGGCGGAGAGGTCGCCGGGGCCGAGGGGACCGCTTTCGCCTCCTTCTTTGATGAGATTGAGGCCCTGGGGCTGACCCCGGTTACCCAGGGGGTGGACAACCTTCCGCCAGCAGACCCCAATCCGGGCGCTGGCTTAGTCCCGCCTCCTCCTCCTGCCCCCGGTTCTTCGGCCCCCTCTGCCACCCCCGATTTAGTTTTGGGGGAACCCCTGGCCTTACCTGCCAGCCCGGCCGCGACTACCGTCTCGTGCACAGCCGCCGAGCCCCTAGGGGCGACGGCTGTTGCTGAGCGGCCGGTTCTTGCCCCCGATCCCGCCCCTTCCACACTTCCTGCCCCTGAGGCTTCCCCTGTCCCTGATGCCTCCATCCCCTTGGATGCAGACCCTAGCCAGGGGGAGCCGCAATCTAGCGGTTTGGCAGCAGGAGATGGGGAGCTCGTTCCTGTCCCTGATCCTGTCCCCTCTTCTGCTGCCCCCGAGGTGTCTCTTCCTGCCACCTCTGGGTTCACTGCTGCCCCCGGGGTTGTCGCATTTCCGTTGCCTGCAGACGACCCTCGGGGGACGGCTTTTGTGTCTCCCCTTCCCGCCACTGTAGGGGCTGTGTTGTTCCCTCAACCGCCCTCTCCTTTGTCAGGGATAGGGACGGGCAGCCCGGCGCAGCGGCGCCGGAGCTCGGCCCCTTGTTTGTCCGTGGGCCGCGAGGACCCTACGGGGGCCCTGCCGGAGGACGGTGGCGGCTTGGCCGCTGCCTCCCCCTCCGCGCTGCGAGATGAGCTGCGCCTCTTTCTATCGGATACCCGTGGTTCCCAGGGTAAGGTGCAGCTCGCGGATGTCCTCGCGGAGCCCCTGCTGCACAATCCCGATCTCCGTGTGCAGGTGGCGGAGTCACCCTCGGTGAGCCGGAGGTTGATCCTGGCGGAAACCACCAGGATCGGAGACCTCCTGGACTACGCCAGAGGGGACTGGGTGGATCCCCGTGCGCTTGGTCGGCGCATGGGGCTCTCCACCCTTACGACCCCTCTGCGTGTACTCCAGGAGGTGGGCGCTGCATTGTCTCCTCCCGCTCTTGATTTCCTGTGGCGGGCCCTACGAGAAGGCCCACCCCTCCCACCCCTCACCCCGGGCCCTCCGGATTTTTTCATTGGGCCCCTGTTCCGTGAGCCCCCCCGGCTCCCCCGATCCCATAATCCGAGCCGGCTGCACGCTTTGCAGCCGGTCCGGTTTCGAACCGTGCCTAGAGACCACCTGTACACGCTCGTGCTCCACACGTTACATTTTCTCACCCTCGTGTCCCGCCCCGATACCAAATGGTGGGACTATCTACTACCTGTGGAGGGTGAGAAACCCCGGTGGGCCAGTCTTTATTCCACCTTGGTTCCACGGCCCGCCGGGGACATTGGTTGGCGGCTCCTTCACGGAGCCGTGAGCACGGGCGTGTACTTAGCGCGGTTCACCCCTATTCCCGAGGCCTGCCCATTCTGCGGCCTACGGGAGACCCTGGCGCATGCTTACCTTGAGTGCGCCAGGCTGCAGCCCCTGTTTCGGCTCCTCCAGAACCTCTTGTTAAGGTTCTGGTTGCACTTTTCCCCACACCTGTTTATTTATGCACACCCTATCCGTGGCCCCACGAAGTCGCGAGACCTCCTCGTCAACCTCTTCCTGGCCCTGGCCAAACTCACCATCTATACCAGGGAGAGGATGTTGGACGAGGGGGTGATTTGCGACTGTGGGGCCTACTTCCGTAATTTTTTGGTTTCACGTCTCCGGGCGGAGTTCCACTGGGCAGCATCCGCTGGCTCCCTTACCACCTTTGAGGAGCAGTGGGCGCTGTCCGG